AGAAAGAAAGAAAGAAAGAAAGAAAGAAAGAAAGAAAGAAAGAAAGAAAGAAAGAAAGAAAGAAAGAAAGAAAGAAAGAAAGAAAGAAAGATCTGTGCACAGACACAGTACAGACCCTTCTTATCGACTTTGCTCCTTTGTGGGATAACCCGATTGCCCCAGCTCCAAGAGAAACCCTGGTGCGTGGGAGCTAATTATCTGCCTCGGTGTATCCTCTACCCGCTGTTTACGTTCTGCACACGCTAGAGGGTCAGTGGTCTGACTTCAGAGAGCCTCCAGTAATCCTCCAACAGCTCTCTGACACTGATACATCCTTCCTCTTGTCCTCATCCTTTTCTCCTCTTTTGCACTTTCTTCTTTTGTCCCTCCGCCCCCTTCTATCCTCTTCTGTTCCTGCTTCTCTCAGTACATTGTTTTACTCTTCCACATTAGAACACTAAGTCCTTCACTCATTTCATCCAATCTGGCCTGACCCTGTTGTTTTTTTCTTTACCATTGCTCTTCTTTCTCCCTATTCTTCTTGCTTTTATTTTCACTCATCTGTACCGCAAACCTAAACTCTTGTGATACTTTGTGTCCAAATGTCTGTGTATTAAATCTAGGAAATATGCGACAGAACCTTTAATCAGTTCATAAAAGGCTACGGGCATGCACAATCAGTAAATGTTGACATGTTGGCAAGATAATTTTCCTTCTTTTTTTTTGTTTAAACCAGTTAGAAGGTAGAGGCTGTGCTGTACTTTGCAGGGTAAGTGTTCATAATTTTGCATGTAATCTTCAGATGACGTTGCGCGACTCATCCCAGGAAACTGTCAAAAATAACCCTTTCTCACATGTAGCACATGGCAGGAGGTAGTATGTAAACACTCAGGTGTACTAGATCAAGATTGGGCAGGTTAAAGACTGCTTACTGTCCCATCTAACCGTGCTGACATTTGCATTCTCACGTGCCCCCAGGAATGGACCCGTAATGTGGCATTCCAGGCATTTACCTGTGGTCCTATTACCTGTGCATATAAATGGATGGCAAAATTGTCCTTTAAGCAACTACTTTTTACTTTCTTTCTTTGAGTACATTTCAGAGACTTTACTTTTTCACTTTTACTTGAGTAAAGAAGTTGAATCAGTACTTCAACAGTACTTTTTAACACAAGTATCTACACTTCTACTTAAGTACAGAATGTCTGTACTTTTGCCACTCGTGCAAGCAACAAGGATTCAGGTAACACGAATGGCTACCTTGACCACGAGCGACTTTTTTAGCCTAAGTATATCTTTGAATTGTCACATGCTGCAGTGCAACAAAGAACTAACCCAACGACAACTTTAGCAACTTGTTTAAAACCTGTTTCAATATAAATAATCAAATAAATGTAAATATATACAAAATATGTGTATGCATGATAGATTGTATGTGTCCAATCACAGCACAGTTCATATGCATTGTTTCAAAATGACTGATATTAGGGGAAAAAAGCTTTTGATCTCTAAAGGTGTCAGCTATTGTAGCTCCTACATCTGCAAAGCTGCAGAACAATTTCAAAATCCCAAATGCCACCTGGGTCTGATTAAGCACTGTTTTTAAATTAGTGATATAAAATCGGAAGAGGTGTAAAACTGTGGGGAAGCAGACATGCTAAGTCTCAGAGCTAATTTATTGATGTTGACATACACAACCTCATTTGCTGCCTTCTCTCTCAATAGTTGTAATGTCTGATTTGTCCTTCAATTAGCCTGCAGTTCACCTCACTATCGCTGTAGCTGGATGGACCTTAGCCCCCCTTTTACTCCAGCATATACACCCTCAGTGACACTCATGCATATTAGAGACAGTTGAGCCAACTAACAGCAAGCAGTCAGCAAGGGCGGGGGTTTACACACACCCACAGACCCCCATGACATTCTGCCAACCATGCAGCCAACATTCCACTTGTGGGACAGCCCATAGCCTATAATCCCCGCCTGGCTCTCGCCAAAATCTCCCCGGACGACAGAACGCCTGCCACAGGGGATGTGCCACCATAAAACCTACAGTGCCCCCACTAAATATTCACATACATAGACACAAACCTCCCCTTACCCTCACTGCCCCTTAACTTTCTCATTTGATCTCTGTCTGTCTGCTGTTCTCACCACAGTTATAGAGTCATCTAATATGGTCTGTGATTTTTATTCCTCCTTCACCACTCTATACTTCTGCTTGTTTTTTTTATTTTGATATTTTTAGTGTAGCATGCTTGCTCACTTATTGCTCCAGCATACACACACACACACATACACACACACACACACACACACACACACACAGAGTATTGTGTATGCAGTCAGTAAAGCCCTCTTGAATGCTGTCCTTTGTGACAATGTTGTAACAGATTTCTTGCAGTTATATCATAGCCAGTTCAGCAGATCTACACTAACTTATAATGTACAGGCAGGCATTTCAAAGGGAATAACATGGCCTGATAACAGAGGTGTCTCCATAGGATTGCACAGCCCTCCCCTAAAATATGATTGCCTCAGTGCCCAGCTTTCCCTAAGCTATAACCTATATATCCCATGTTACTAGACAAGAGCAGCATTAATCTTAGAGCCTTATAAAGCTCCTGTAAATGCCAACTCACATATTTTTTGCATATATTCCAGATGATCCTTAATGATAGATTACAGGAAACTTACAACAAAAGACAAATGTTTGTCATCTGTGGCGTCTTATGTTGAATTTGAGAGTAGTTACAGGCAAGATATTTACTGGATCCAGATTTGCCAGAAATGTCATATGTCATATAATCATGAATGTTTCCATTGCTTCCCAGCTGTGGCAGTTACCACAACTGGCTCAGCCGTAAAGAGTAGCTACTACTAATGGTTTAACACTATATCAAAATGTATATGACTGTCAAGCATGCCAGCTATGTGCTGAGATGCCAGGACACTGCTCGCTTGCTAACTTGATCATCTAGCGCAGGGATGTCAGACTCATTTTTTATCACCACTTTGATCTTTAGTGGGCTGGATCAAAGGAAACTCATTTCTGTCAGCATAAAGATACTTAACTAATCATCCAGACTGTCTATATTTATAAAATACCTATTTTCCTCTTCTTTTTTTGTGGTTAATTTACAGAAAATATTTTCTTATCTACCATGGCACAGTTTGAATGGCAAAGGGGGAGGTCTTTATTAATAGGAAAAGCTGTAAAATGTATTAAAATACAGCTAACAGTTCAAAACCTATGTACTCCTTTCAGTGGGGCAGATTGGAGTCTTTGCTGGTCCAATTCTGGCCCCTAGGACTTGACATAAGGTTTAAAAATCTGCCGGTCAGTGCCTCTGAACCTCACCAAATAATGCATGCAACCAATTTAAATCCTGAAACAAACAGAAATTTTTTTTTACATATTACGTTCCATTTATTTCCAAAAAAGTAGCAACCTTTGCATTGTTCAGAAATTACTGTTTCCGATCGCTTCCAGTCTTTGTGCAAAGAAAAGCTAAATTCACGGTGGTTTAGAAAGCTGATGGCCCATGTGCTCAAGTTCCACATTATGACGCTACTGGAAGTGTTTCATGTGTTTTCCCCACAGCCAAAAATTCCTTCACTGAAAGTCTTTTAAGACTCTGTGATATTTTTCATCAAAACTTGACTTTTGGGAATGTGCTAAATGTCGGTTGAAAATGTTCCAGAACCTCTTAAGGTGTCCCATTTGTGGACCATTATACACATGTCAACACACAGTTTACAAAAGGCCCATCAGAAACTGTTCCAACTAACCAAACGCAGGTTGGTTTGATAAACACTCTCGTAATCATCTCAACACTGGCATGGATTAGGTTTCTCTTCTGGCTCGACAAAAGCACAGGGGCTACAGTATGACTAATCCACTGAACTTGTAAATAGTTATGGTGTCAGGGCAGAGAAAACAATGAGAGCAAAGGGGACTTCCTGTGTTTACAGAGGACAGGGGGCATACCCCGAATGAGTCAGTGAGTCAGATTACTACATCCGTCCATCTATCCAACCATCCATCACTAAAATCACCTGTCTTCGCAATAATTTGTTCTTTTTTTTACTTACTTTTTGCTCACTGTGGTGTCTGTCTCCTGTCCTCTTGTTCTTTCATTATTTCTAGAAGGTTAAACACAGCTGGCAGAGAGAGCTTCATATCACAAGCTCAAAATGTGTGGGTCAGACTTGATCCCTGGTCCAAGCAGACACCTGCCTTGATTAATGAACGGAGTGGGAGATGATGAGCATAGGAAGGCTGGGGGGTGAACGTGAAGCGGACAGGAGAGAGACAGGGATCTCGTTTTCTCTCCCACTTTATCTCTCTTTCCCCTCTCCCTGTGTCTCTGCCTACTGCCGACTTCAGCAGTTTCACAATCCCCGACCGGCCAGCCAACAGCCGAGCAGGCCGTGCTGCTCCGTTCCACTCACACATGAGCGGCAGCAGTACAACAACAGGAAAGGGCCTCCTCTGCTTTCACTTGCAGGTCCTGTCTCCAAAACTCCCTGCGGCTGGATCTTGTTATTATCATTATTAACTATGGCTCGAGCAGAGATAAACCTTCAACATTCCAAAATTCTCTGTTTTGTTTATGAGATGGTGTTGCAAGAACAGATAAATTGGGGGTTTATTTAAAGGCTTTCTATTTTGGACAAAGGTCTACTCATCACACACGGAGAGGGCTGCAACAGCTGATAGACCCGACAGTGTAGCTGCTTCCGCTGATTAAACACTGACATCTAGTGAGAACCTTAGCATGTTGCACTGTAAATGAAAGTTGTGCACAATGCTTTACTTTCAAGTGCATACTTTCTGGAATTGGCATTTCTTACTTCACAGAGGTTTCCCAGCAGGACAATCTTTTGAAATATTATTGACATCTTACTATATTTACTGCAGTTTTTAACAATATTTTTATTCCAAATTCCTTTGTGAAAATACTTGTGCAGTCATTTCTACTGACACCTCCCACAATCCACTGACGTTGCAAATCTTAATTTTTTTTGGTCTTCTTAATTTTCAGGACGGAAGAAGAATGAGCGGAGAGAAGGAAGGAATCGCAACAACCGGAAAGATAAGGAGAATCAGGAGGGGAGGCGGGAGAGGAAGAGAGAAAGGGAACGAGAGAAGGAGAGAGACACGGGTGAACGTGAAGATTCTGTTAACAGGAACAAAACAGAGCACAGGCACCGCAGAGGCCACGAGACAGAGCTAGTCTCACCTGTAGACGGCCCTATCCAGTAGTGCTCGGGGGAGATAACATCCAATGCCTCACCACCTTATTTCTGTCATCTTCCCATCCTTCGTGCTCCAAAACTTCCCCACCCTCACCTCTGTTTGCCCCACTCACAACCTCTCTCTGCAGGGGTGTTGCTGCTACCTGTATGATTTGAATATACTGTTTATGCACAAGCAGGACGGGGCACATTCAGCCAAAAGGCTGGAGCCACTATTGTTTTCAGCTCCTCTTCAACCGTTGAGAGCGTCTCTTATGAAAAGTCCAGGAGACACTGCTGAGACTGCTGTTGGGACTGCAGAACACTGAGAATTGTCTGTGACAGTGTGGAGGACTGTCAGAGAAATGTAATGAGAGACAAAGACATTACATGTTTGTTGAAATGGTTATTTAATAGGGCTCTGGTACAACATTGTGCATCTTGGATTTTGAATGTAGATTTTCCAGCATTATGTAGAAGAATTCTCATTATTGTTGTTCTTGTTCTTTAGATCTCTTTATTTGGTGCAGATTTTGTAAAGAAAAAATAAAGATAAAAAGTGAGGGGTTTTTTTTTTTTTTTGCTCTTTCCATCTCGTGACATCTTCATAATCACTACAGCTGAGGGCGACCTACCTTGTAGGCAACTGCATCTTTGCAGTATTTGCAAGATCATTAGAATATTCACTGTAAGCAAACTATCTGGTGTGTCCAGCTAAAGGGGAACCCGCTTGGTATGAATAAAAGGATTATGGTCATAAAGTTTCAAGTGTATGCATGTCTGGTGGAAATGTTAATTTTATCCAGATAAGTGATAAATCTAATCTACCACTGGTTTTTCTTGTGTAAATAGAAGCTCTCAATACAGCTCCGACTAGAAACCAAAACACTTGTATGTCAAATAAAACTATAATGGGTTTGTACCTGTGACTGCTTTAATCTCTCTTTTTTGCCCCTTCACCTTCATCTTGTGCAATCCAAACAAGTATTAGCTGATTTCAACTAGGAAGTGAAACTCAGTACACAGATGCCACGCTCTCCATTTGGCTTAAATCTGATTGCAGTAGTAAGAAGCTATGGCCTTAAAAACTTACTTTAAAAAAAAAAAAAAAATAAAAAATACTGGGAGCCCATCTTTCTGTAGCTGAAGCTACTCTGGCAAAATATACTTGAATTTATTAAAGTGCGTTATTAAATTTGTGTGCATTTTTGAATAATCCATAACCCAATTTGGTCAGTTTAAACAAGTAAACGAATATGAGATATGAAATGTAGGATAGTCACATCTGGGTGTACCCATTCAAGCCACTTTATGCAAAAATAAATAAAGAAACATTTTAAAGCTAAACTGTTTATTGGTGGAGTGATTATTTTTGCTCAACAGCAGCATCTACTGCATTTTGCATCAGGCATGACAGTATTTCCTCCTCATTCATTTAGCAAAGAAGTCTCCACTAATGTGGGGTTGCACATGAAAATATATGAAATTCTGATTTAAATGTACTTTACAACATTACAGTATGTACACAAATCTTAAGTGCAAGATAAAGCAATGTTTGAGAAGAGAACATTAATTATACATGACAAATACAACCAAGTTCAAAAGGATGGTATCTGAATCAAGATGAGTCTAAATCAAAAACGACAGAGGAGACACTGACAGATGGAAATTTAGCCAGATGCCTTTAAATAGACTGAACAAATTCTCAATCACAGCTGTTTTTTAAGGGGGTCAACTGTTCACTTCAGGTTGGCGACAAAATCCTCGCCCTTCTTGATAGAGGCCTTCAGCTCACCGATGGCGTCAGCAACCAGCTTCTCCTCAAAGGCGGACAACTTGCCGAGGCCAAGGTTCTTCTCGATGCCGTTCTTCCCCAGAAGGATAGGTGTGGAGAAGTACTTGCACTCTGTCTCCTCAGACCTGACAAAGGAACACTCCACCACTCCCTCTTTTCCATTCATGGCGTCCAGGACGGAGAAGGTGAAGCGGGCGCCAGCATAGGCCATTGAGAGGGTTGCAGATCCAGCTCCAGCCTTGGCCTTGACCACCTCTGTGCCGGCCTCTTGGATCCTTTCAGTCAGGGCGGAGAGCTGGTCAGCAGGGAACTCCACTTTAGGCGTGCACTGGGAAATGAGAGGAATGATGGTCTTCCCAGCATGGCCTCCAATCACCGGCACATTAACACGAGCAGGATCCAGGCCCTTGAGCTCTGCAACAAAGGTGTTAGCTCTTACAATGTCCAAGGTTGTGACACCAAACACTTTGTTTGGGTTGTACACTCCATGCTTCTTCATGATCTCTGATGTAATCGGGATGGTGGAGTTGACGGGATTGGAGATAATGCAGATCAGAGCCTCAGGGCAAGTGCGGGCGCAGGCATCGGTCAAGGTGGCCACAATGCTGGCGTTGGTGTTGAAAAGGTCATCGCGGGTCATGCCTGGTTTTCTGGGCACGCCGGCTGGAATTACCACAACGTCGCAACCCTGCAGCGCAGCGCCGAGCTGGTCGGGGCCTATGTGGCCGGTCACCTTGGCCCTCGTCTCGATGTGGCTGAGGTCTGCAGCCACTCCGGGTGTATGAGCGATATCATACAGAGAGAGGTGGCTCACCAGGGGGCTATTCTTGAGTAGCAGCGATAGCGGCTGGCCTATGCCGCCCGAAGCCCCGAGCACCGCCACCTTGGCGTTGTTCTGTGACGAGGTGGCCAAGCCCCGCACGAGGCTAACGGTAGGTCTCACAGCACGGGAAAACATCTTCTTGAATGTTGATTCAGCTATTGAAATGAGTGAAAATTGAAACGCCTTCGGAGCCCCTCTTTTCCGTGACACCAACGTCCTCTAGCCACGAGCAAACCGGAAGACTACCGAGTTGTCATGCGTCGAAGATAATGGTCGCGCGATTTTACGTCTGATTTGCGTCAGTTCGTACGGCTGCGTCGTCGTCTTTGTCTCAGCTTCTTTTTCGTAGGAAAACAAAGCCAGTGAACAGCAGAAGTGGGCAAATTAGAATTGGACATTAGTACCATCAAAAGAATTGTAACGAAAACCAGCATAACACAGCGGTACGGTACGTGTACGGTCGTTGCGGTGTTTGTGTCGTGAGAAAAACACGTCTTCTGACTCTTTATGTCGCCCCTGCTAAAATAAGCTAGCGCCATCAAATGAACGCCGTCTATTTGCTGGAGTCACAATGCTGCCGTCAGATTAGCCAGGGCTAGCTAACTACAACAGGTTTCATTGTTATGGAAGCTTTGTCAGTCGAGAAAAGCCTCTGTGTCGTTATTGTTCGACTCGTTTTACAAGTAAAACGGTACTGTTTGACCAGCTGCTGGGTAATCAGCCAGACAAGTTTTTATATATACTATTAATAGTTATTGTGAGTATTATAACCATCACATCGTTAGCCGTTAAATTTAATTAAATAATGTGCTTGTCACTAGCCCTGCTTTAACGATAGAAGGTTTAAGTCACAAAGCACAGTTCACTGATTGTTGCGAGGTAACTGAGCAGCCTTTTGTATCACACACAGTAACCTCTTAGGTTTCACTTATAACTAGTGAATTAATCCCAACCTGTAAGTAATCGGTTTTAACGCCAGAGCTGAAGGGTTTGATTGGGAGGAAATGTATGCATATAAGAAATGGCTTGTTATTGTACCGAACAGTTGTATGTATTTTAAGATGAAACACATTTTCACTCACTTCTCTTTTCGTTTTGACAGTGGCAAGTTTCAAGGTCGAACAGCTCTCCTGATGATACATCAGCACTAAGCTCATTCCAGTAAGTCCAAAATGGATAGTGTATTTGAATTTTGTGATGGTACCAGTGTGCCTTTAGACAACATTAAAAGCTGGTTTTATTTAACCTTTTATTTGTTTGCTAATTTGTGACAGTAACATTGTGTTAAGTGAAGTCATGACAGCAATAAAAATAAAAGAAAAATCAGCTGCAGTGTCCATTTCATTGAAAGATATATTCATTTACCTAGGCATGATAGCCACAGAATAATATCTCCAGTAATATTAATAATTTCACACAATATACATCTGTATTGAAATTAACACTACTAATAAACAAATGGGTAGAACACATTCATTGTAACATTTTCCTTTATGATATTTCTTGTTTTTTTTCAGTACTTCCTCATGATGGCTAGTTGTGGAGAGGTAGACCACTCTGTTAGCTCACTCCCATCCAGCAAGAAAGGCAGCAACAGTGGTGGTGGAAGTGGGAACAGTGCAGAATCATCGTGCTCTGGCTCCAGCAACTCATCCCCAGCTCTATCAGTTCCTGAGTGTGCCATCTGTCTGCAGAGCTGCGTCCACCCAGTCCAACTGCCATGCCATCACGTCTTCTGTTTCCTGTGTGTAAAGGGAGCATCTTGGCAGAGCAAACGATGTGCTCTCTGTAGACAAGAAGTACCTGATGACTTCCTGGAAAGGCCTACACTTCTCTCTCCAGAGGAGCTGAAAGCATCAGCAGGAGGTCGAGGTGGGGCAGCGAGTGATCACGCTTGGTATTATGAGGGGCGTAATGGTTGGTGGCAGTATGATGAGCGAACCAGCCGTGAGCTGGAGGACGCTTTCTCCAAGGGTAAGAAGACAGCCGAAATGCTCATTGCTGGTTTTTTGTATGTAGCTGACCTGGAGAACATGGTGCAGTATAGGCGTAATGAGCACGGTCGCAGACGTAAGATGAAAAGAGACGTTTTAGACATTCCCAAGAAGGGGGTGGCAGGACTGCGATTGGACACTGAGGGTGTTAGTGGGGCCGTGGGGGCTACAAGTAGAGAGAACTCTGCTGATGGGGCTGATACCACACTAACAAATATACAGCAACAGGTTACAGGTATCTCTTCTACTGTATCAGCCCCTTCAGCTCCTGCCAGACCTCCCACTTCCCTCGGTGGTCAGCCAGGCCCCAGTACTAGCCCCCCTCTGGAGGATGCTCTCTCCCAGCTGCAAATCAGCCCCAGGCCCACACCTTCTCATGAGCGGTCTGAGGCTGGGGAAGGAGAGGAAGATGAGGAGGAGGAGGCCTCACCTTCCAGGTCCTCTGACCCTCACACCTCTGTAGATGAGTCTGGCTCTGGAGATTGGAGTGATGATGAGGATGAGGAGGATGAAGAAGAGAACGGGGGAGATGGAGAGCGTGTGGAGCCGCGGGAGGGTAGGCCAAGGAGACAAAGACTGAATCCAGAGAACAGAGCCCCTCCTCGTTCAGAGTCTGCCTCCCCGTCTCCCTCATCCAGTAGCAGTGGAAGGTCCAGAATGCCTGATGGCCAGTGTACAGTGACTGAGGTGTGAAGCGATCATTAATATATTATCACCAAATGGCTGTGTTCCTCATTAATTTGTTCCTCGCTTTATGCTGTCGTTCACTTGGTCACAGATCAAATGGGGGTGGAATACTTTCTGCAGGAGAAATGATGCACTACACATCCAGTAATAAACAGAACCACGTTTTCCTCTATTTGTATGCCCCATTCTGGGAGCACAATGATCTGGAGGTATCTGCGTGATTCTAACAGTCTCATCACAAAAATACAGAGTCAGCAGAAGTTTGTTTTCATGTTCTGGAACTGAGTGTTCTCATTCTGAGAGAGAGAAGGTACAGCTTGGTAAACAGATGAATACACAGCGTTTTCTGTTCAGCACATCATTTGAGGGAGGTGCAACAGTTGGCTGTAATCAGTCTGTGCACTACTGGCTGCAGGTGTATAAAGTTTGCTTTTTTCAAATTGCAGGCAAGTGGAAGTTAAAAGTGACTTCGGCCAAACCTACCTACCTGTTTACATTTATTAGCTAACACCCAGAGGGGGGGCAGAGTGTTAGCCCCAGTCAGATTTGTGACTTCCAGTGAAAGAAGGCATAATGGGATTTTGGAACTCAGCCATTATGAACGGCTGCATTCTGGTCATCTGCACTTAACTCTCTCAGCTAACATAGCACGCAGAAATGAGCTCATTAGAGCTCAAGTCATCTGCCTACTCGTGCAGAGAATTTAACCCTTAATACCTTATTCCTAGCCTCCACCTTACTTCAACAGTCTCCTTCACATTTAACTAATTATGAAGCATTTTCTTAAAGTTTTAATTTAACTGAACTTTTTCGAAGTGTCTTTCATTTCAGAGCTAATTGTGGTTTGAAAAGAAAGAATATAGTTTGTTCATGATGAAGAACGGAAACATTTTCAACACGATGCTCTTAAACTGTATGGGATTGTAAATTTGACACTTAATGATTAGCAACCTAGAATATCTGGAAACCTGAGGTTATCTGGCTATATGCCAAGATTTTGTGTTTGATTTCGCCTGCAGTTTTATGACAACTAAGATGTTTTAATGAATGTGTAAAACTTTTCCCAGCTTTGAAGAATTGGCATTTTACTGTGGAGTAGCAGCATTGTGCCTTTAAAGCTGCTGATGCCTCTGAAGCTTCCATGTTAGTGTCCCAGATTAAAGTATTCTCAATAAATGTGTATTCTAATCTGTGCGTGTTTGAAGAGAGAGTTACTTAAACACTACTGGTTGGCAGGATGTGGAGAATTGATGTTTTCAGTTTGAGTAAATGTTTTAATTTTGTGTTTGTGCATTTCTTATGGTTGTAAACCCTCTTATATATTATGTCTGGGGGAGTAAGAGAACAAATCTATACCATTGCTATTGGTCATCCTGCAGAAGTTTCAAGTTGCATTGGTTTTCTATTTCTTACATGCCTCAGTCATCGGCTCAGTTTTAAACTTTCCATTTGGAAGAATAAATCATTGTGTAACCTTTTTTTTTTGCTTAGTAACCTTTTTGTTTGTTTTATGGTTCGTAATTTAAGAATAAAGTGTCATTTCAACATCCAGAAGTTATTTCGCTCTGTTTGGAGACTGTATTTTGTTGTTTTGGCGTCTCTGTGACAGTGCATAGTCTGGGAAAATATTTCCATCCTGATTTTAAAAGTAGCGCACTTTACGTAACATTTCATCCACCTTTTCTCTACACCAAGTATTTGGCTTCCCTTCACTCACATCCGTGGTGTTTGGTATTCTGACCACAGCAGACAGTAACACTCCAGCTGGTTGTCTTGCCAGGAAACATGACCTTTGGAAGGGGAACAGGGGATACAAGCTCAGCAAGCTCCAGGGACCTGTCCTTTTCCATTGCAGTCCTTGAACATTTGTACTTTTTACAGAGCCTTATTTGCTCTGCGGGTTACTGAAAAATGAACAACACACTGAGGGGGAGGGGGGGGGGGTACAACTTATGATATTTACTATGTATGGCTGAAATGCTTAATTGGCCCAGCACTTCAGAATTTTGAATGTTCCTGATGCAGAAGATGAGAGCTACTGAGCAAAGCAGCGATACCCACTCGGAAAACATTCCTAAAGCCAAGGTTTTCTTAATAGGCCACAGTGACATGGACACTGAGGAAATCTGAAGAATCAGCTGATATAAACTACAAGTACGTACAAGAGGGTAGATGACTGCAGTGTTTCTCTGTCCTACAGAAAGATGAGTCTTTCTCATGCTGATTATACCTCATTGTCTTGACTGCTTCAGTATTAATCAGCCTGGAGTGATCTAATCATTTCCATAATTGCATAGTCAGAGGAGCTGGAGGATACAGACTGTTTATCTGCTGAATTGGCACTGAAAGGGTTTAGAAAACTAAATCCCTAACACAACAGGATCATACAGCATGTTCACTGTTACTAACAAGGACATCAGTGTAAACAAATCACAATAATTTCAGTCTCCACAGTGGGAATGATACTACATTTCTTATGACTTGACAGTGCACCACAGATGCTGTATTTTTAGCAAAGGGGCAGATGCATAATCCAGATTTGTATTTATTTACTTTACCTGGAAGTTCTGTATACAACATTAAAAAAGGAAGCTTCAGTCGGTGTTTTTGCTTCTTAACATCTAAACTTGTAGGCATAAAGTCAAAGAGATGCAACAAGAATCACAACCACAGCACTGTGCAATGACTCATCTCTCACTATCACTGCATTTGAACAGATGCACCTAGTAAAAGTCCTCAATCAAAACAAATATATAACTTCAGTCCCCTAAAATTAGTTTCCACAAAAGTCATTTGTGTTTGGACTTGCTCGCCAGGGCCTCCAGGTTAGCCGGAGCGCCCCACACCATCCCAAATATGTCCTTCTCAGTCCTCAGAGCTTCAGACAAAGGAAGCTCTCTGCCTGACAGCACCACCTTCTTCACAGCTTGGATCACTGGGGCAGGTCCCTTTGTGTAGCGACTGAGCCAGTTTTCAGCCTGCTGCAGGAGAGGGGCAGCACCTTCTGTTTTCTGATGGCCTTCCAGGACTCCATCCACCAGTCCAATGTTTACGCCAAGCTCGGGATCCACTTTTACAGCCCCGCCAAGCAACTTCAGTGCATTCTGGCTTCCAACCAAGTGGACAAGTCGGGCAGCACCGCCCCAGCCTGGGACCAGACCCATGTGTTTATGGACAAACTGGATCACGCTGCCTGCCTCCATTAATCTGCGAGAAAGGAATAACATACACATGCTAGATTATTAGCTTTTGGATAAAATGCTGTTATGTAACGGAAACTTCTCAGAAGCGTTACCTGAAATCGCAGGCAGTCGTGAGTTCTGCACCGCCTCCCAATGCTCTCCCTTCCACCAGAGCAACAGAGATCAGGGGGAGCCTACACTAAGAAAATGCTCCTGTAAGCATACTGTGGTGCACATTATATAAAAACTAAAGTAAGACCCCTTTAAGCGCATAAAGGTAACGGTTGTAGTTTGCAAAAAAGCACTAGAGAGGAAAACTAGAGTCCTTACCTGAGCAGCCTCGTAAGAGCATTCTGCATGAACATACACATCTTCATCCCATCCTATGAGACAAGAAAAGCATCATTTAGGCATCTTCAGTAAGAGGAATCCAGACAGTCACACCAAGATAGACATGAATGCAGTAAAGAATTTGTCCCCTTTGTTACCTGTTGGTTAGATATTGCTCGGACAGCGTTAAGGTCAGACCCAGAGCAGAACGTTTCAGCCGCACCCTGAACTATGAGGCCTTTGCCCTCTGGCCAGTTCTCCAGCTGGCTCACCCTTTCCTCCAGATCTATCATCATACTCCCTGCCAGCAGGGCAAAAAATAATCAAGGCAATAAACCAAAGTGCAATTTCACTTACAAATATTTATGGGAGGCTAATTTTTATCTGTCAGTCTGCGTCAAATGTAAAGTAACCTTACCAGAGAAAGCATTCATGCGAGATGGGTTGTTGATGGTCAGCACCGCAATGCCAGAGTCCTGTTTCAGCAGATCAATGGAGCCTCCATGAAAGGCCTGAAGCTTCTCTCTGATCTCATCCTGGTTGAAGCCGTGGATGCTGGAGTAAACACAGCTACTCCTCTGTCTCTGCAGCAGCCTTGGAGAAACACTCATGGATGAATAAATGCCTTTTTGTCTTTAAACTCCATTCTTATTTATATGTGCGTTAAAGTTAAATGACATGTTAGTCATGTTAAATGTACAAACCAATGGCATCAGAGTCATTCAAGGGTCTACACATGAAAGATCTCAGACTTTCTAATAATTTTAAACACAGTTACAGAATGTCTGCATACTATCAGTGCTTTTTAAATCACATCCTATTAAGTGTAAGGTGCAAGGCTAGTGTAAGTTTACCTACCTAAGAGCCTATTTCTTTAAAAGTCTACTTTTTAAAAAGATACTTCCAAGTACAAAAGCACAGAGCAGGCAGTAATATCCATTCATTAGCTATACTCTTATATCAACTCTTAATGAAAATATGGAAGGGTTTTAAGAAAGCGGTTATGCAGGACACACACTGCATAACACATGTGATCCGTGGCCCAAATCTTTATTGACCATTTATTAGGACTTTAGCTGATAAGGTTTTATTAAATTGTACTGATATGACCAGAGAGTACTGCAGGTTAAATGAGCTTAATGATACTGATTGTTAAGATATCAATAACAGTCATTTAAAGAAAGCTTTTACAAAGCAGCCAAATAGATTCTTGTTGCTCAAAGGTCAAACTGCATGCTTACACTCACAAACAGAGGAAGAAGGAATGGTTTAAAAAAAAAAAAAACAACTACTACAACCTCTGTTTAAATCAGCATGGGGGATGTATGTTACTAAGTGATGCAAATAAATGGTAAATATATAATCCAGTTTAGCTGAAATTGTGATGTTAGGATCAACATGAATTTCATCATTTTTAATACGTGAACAAGTAAAATGGATTTAACTTGGCATGGTTGACATTCTTTATTTGCTGTTGCCATTATGGCGATGAGCAATGATGTCTAGTCTCCATCACCTGGCCCAG